AATCTAAATTTTAATCTAAATCAAAGTTAACAATTAATTTTAATAACATATTTCATAGAATCCATAACTGTTTAACTTTTATCAAAATTTACTAAAAATTTGATTTTAATCTCCACCAAACGGGCAAAATCACAATAAATTTGAATTTCAATAACATGCTAATTTAAAAAAAAATTTCGAGAATCGTACGCTAATTGAATCTACAAATTGCTTATGTCATCTCAAAACTTATTTCGAGAACTATATTATAGGCATATCGAATAGTCCGAACAAATATCGAAAATAATTAAAAATACGTTAAACGTGATTCTTAAAAAAAGACGTCTAACTCGCATTTTTTTAAAAAAAATTCAATTATTTCATTAACATTTATTATTTTTGCGATACAAATTTTTCAATATAATTTTCATCATTTTATTAGAAAATTTTATATGGAATATGACATCAAAATTTTTCGAAATTTTACATCCGAAAAAGTCATATCTTATGTAAATTTTCGGATATAAAATTACATGGGGTATGATTTTTTTGGACGTAAATTTTCGATTGTAAAATTTCTCCCAACTTCTTTACAAGTTCGATTGGACCCCCCCTAACTTTTAAGATCTGCTTCCGCCCCTGACCTCGGACACATTCTGGACGTGTAGACTATCGAATTCAGATACAACGGTAGCATTGTTTTGATCAGTATTGTTTAAGTCTCTTTGTTTCCTTTTCCAGTCAAAGCAGTCTGTCTTGAAATGTCCTAAATTTCCACAGTTATAACATTTCTTACCACTTTTATCTTTAGATTTTGATCTCATTTTAAATTTTCCCCTCCCATTTTTGTTCTGAAAGTTAAATTCCCTCTTTTCATTTCTTCCCCTAACAAATAGGCTTTCTTCTCTCATATTTGTTTTGTTGTCTCTTTTCAATTCTAGTTCTCTCAACTTCAATGCATCTATTACAATAGCCTGCGACAGAGTATCCCTACCATATTTTATGGCATTTCTGATTTCTTTATACGATTCGGGAAGTGCATACAACAGTATGACAGCTAAGTCCTCATCATCAAACTTCTTATCATTATGAGCTAAACTCTTAACAATTATGCTATAATCGCTTAAATTCCCTTCTATATCATTCCCTAGGTCCATCTTAAAACAAAACAATTTTTCTAACAAATATATCTTGTTAGGTAAAGTCTTAGTCAAGAATAAGGCATCTAAGGCAGTCCATAAAGTCCTAGGATCTTTAGCACTATCATCTTGTCTAACAATGTTATCAGATAAGTGCAAAATTATAGAACTATATGCAATTTCATTCATTTCTTCAATTTCAAAAGGTTTAGCTTTTAACTCATCAGAAAAAGTAGAAGGATCATCGAGAGCTTTAGCAACTCTCCTTTGGACCAAAATGTCCATCATTTTCTGTTTCCAAATTGAGTAGTCCCCCATTTCCATTGAATTGCGATAATTCGACCTTCAACCTCATTCCAGATTCTGTAAAAGAGCGGCACGTACTCATGGACATAACAAAAAAGATTTTGAATCTTTTCCAGATGATCAACACACAGTATGAATGCAGAGTTAAAACCAATATTCAGAAATGAAGCACAACAATGAAACAATCCAATTACGAAACTTCTATATGATATGTGTGCAAGTGTGATTCAAACTTAGGCAATGCATATGTATATGATGCAGATAAGCATACTTTTCTGGTTACAAATTAATCATAAGAATTCAATCAAAAGAATTCACAAATAAGTAACCAAGCAATCATGCACAAACTAGTAAAAAATACCAAACTTAATCTATCGGAGAGTTTGGACTAATCTTACTAAACCACTGTTGAAAAACAATAACATATACCACCAGTTCCTCAATCGAGCAAGCTAGCCACAGTTCACCAGAATCACCCAATATCAGTCAACAATATGCACAACACAAAATCAAAGGAATCAGTATAGAATTAAATCACTAGAATGCCAAAGCAGTGGAGGTTTCTGTTTAAACCTTAGAAGGTGTATACAGATAAACTACTGTACCAAAACAGAAGACCCCAATCAGTAAAGGATAAACGAAACCCTAGACCTAAAGCTAACTCTGATACCAATTGTTAGGGATTTACAGCATAATATAGTTCAAGCTCCTTCTAATACAATGATAGAATTCAATAACCAATCTGAACATCAGCATAAACTAATCAACAGAGTTCAGCAATCACAAGGTCTCCAGCATACATTAACATATCTATTGCAGAAATCATAAGAATACATAGAAGCTGAAAAACCGAAAGCATAAACGAGACAAAGGAAAAAGGCAGAAACGCTACTTCCCTTTCTTTGGTTTTGCTTCCCTTTCATTGGTTGAAATGTTTAGGCTCAGGAACAGCCTCCATACCTTGCAAATCGCCGTCCAGAAAGAGCACAAGAACTGGTTCAGAACCCTCCTCACTTGGCTTGGATCATCGATCAAGAGATCTCCCAATAGCAGCCAAGAATCACCCTTAAACCCTCGAGAAAAGCCAACCCCACCCAGCTCCATTTCACGCCTGAGTATACCACGGGAGCCACTCAAGAAAGGGGCTCAATATTCAGTGAATATTGAGGGAAGGACAGCCAGCTTCATCGAAGAAACAGGGAAGAGGAATGGGCAGAGAACAGAGAGATCGAAGAAGAGACGGGAAGTGTCTCGAAGAATGAAGGAAGAGTCTCATAGAAGTGAACCTACGTGAATATATGCCCAAAAGTGAAGCCAATAAAATATCTAAGCAAAGATTCAATCCCAACCGTCCATATGATCCGAGGGTCATAATAAAACCAAATATCTAAGTAAAGATTCAATCCCAACCGTCCATATGATCCGAGGGTCATAATAAAACCAAACTAACACAATCCGGGTGAAACCAAAGTTACCAATAGGTAAGTGACACCTAGGCAGCTAAGGTAAATAATAAGTAACAATCTAAATGTCACAAATAGCACCACCCACAAGTGTTAGGAGGACCACAATACTCACAAGAAAGAACAAAAATCAGTAGTTCTTTATATTGTATTGTCCAATACCATGCCATCCTTAAGATTTAGCTTTCTTGAAAGTCTTTTTTTTTTTTTTTACAACGATCATGCTACATGTATATCATCTTTTACATCATTGTTTACATTGTGCCACGTAGCAACACAGTTTAAAAACAAAGGGATGTAAACAATGACGTAAGGGAATGAATGTACATTTAGCAATTAGCATTATTGTTTTTATAAAGGCGTCTTTAAGTTGTATCTCGTATTGCTGCTTTGTGAATTTTAATGGCATGTTCTGATTTTTCATGTTAAATGAGGCTTATATTACTACCAAATAGACTCAGCTAAAGAGAATGACAGACCAAGCAAGCTGTGGTTACATACTCAAATCTTTATAATTTTTGGCCGATTTCAAAACAGGATTACGTGCCCACTGTTTTTGACAACTTTAGTGCAAATGTGGTTGTGGATGGTAGCACCATTAACCTCGGTTTATGGGATACTGCAGGTAATTCTTTCAATATATTATTCTGTTTCTGGAAATGAGAAACTCCTCGTGAGCATCCAGACTTTCCTTTTAATTTTGGTTTACATCATAAACAATGTAACAGGTCAAGAGGATTACAATAGATTAAGACCCTTAAGCTATCGCGGAGCAGATGTTTTCCTTCTTGCATTTTCTCTCATTAGCAAGGCCAGCTATGAAAATATTGCAAAGAAGGTTAGAATCATTGTAGAGCTAAATCTTTGTGATAGGTCTATGGTCATATACATAATGGTTTGATTTCACGAGCAGCAACTATGTGTAATAATCTGACTAACAAATATTTTTTTCCTCAAATTTTTAGTGGATTCCTGAGTTAAGGCATTATGCACCAGGCGTTCCAATAATTCTTGTGGGAACAAAGCTCGGTAAGCTTTCCCTAGTCTTGTGATGCTTTCCTATCATTTTGCCGCTCTTTTCATTTCTTTTAAGAATTAGTTGGTTTCAGTGTGGTCCTTTGTCCAATTTTAGGAGTGGAGATGGATTGTTGAAGTTCTTGGTCTCGTAAAGCCCTTTTACATTGGTTGTATCATGCGATAGTTGCAAAAGATTTAGTTTCATTTGTTTTTTAGAATATGTAGTGCTGGATTGATTGAACAGTGAACAATAATTTTTTGTAAACGACACCAAACTTTTTGAGAACAAGGCCTAGTATATTGTTAATACATACGAAGGTCTTTCTTCTTCTTGTACCATCAATTATTCTTTAGACGTAAATAGCTACCATCATTAATCTCTAGTGTACAAACCAAACTGGTTCTCTGAAACCGTCATTTTAAACATAAATTGTTTATCCATCCCTTTCTCCCGCAGTTGCATACACAAACACATTTAGTTAATGCCACGATAATTTGAATGTCTCCCGTGCTTTCAAGAATGGAGACTAACATACTCTTCTTCCATCAGTTGACATACGAAATAATTTTGTTAAATAACTTATTAAACTGAGATCATTATGTCACAAAGCCTTGTTAAATGTCTGCTAATAGAAAATCTTGGCATTTGAGCCTCGTGTAATTGATTAATACCATCTTGAAGCTCGATTTGTCTAATCCTAGAAAGTTTGAATCTAGATTTCTTTGTGCATTCTTTTCATCTCAAGGGCAGGTGTCCTTATATTTGATGATACTCATCTTTTACAGATCTTAGAGATGATAAGCAATACTTTGTAGATCATCCTGGAGCAGTGCCCATTAGTACATCACAAGTAAGAATCACCAATTTCTTTTTCTCATATGCTATTCTGGGGTCTCTTAATTTTACACATGCGTAATTTCCTTGAAGGGAGAAGAACTCAAGAAACTAATCGGAGCTGCTGTGTACATCGAGTGTAGTTCAAAAACACAGCAGGTACATATCCCTTCTTTTTTGACTGCGATCATAGTCCTTTATCTTTTTTCTCACGATGGCTATGTATTTGTGCAGAACGTGAAGGCCGTATTTGATGCAGCAATTAAGGTAGTCCTCCAGCCACCGAAGCAAAAGAAGAAGAGGAAAAAGGGGCAAAAGGCCTGCTCCATTTTGTAGTACTGGAAACCAGCTTGTCAAGAAAGATGACCAATTTTCTACCTGGAGAGGCAAGTCTTCGTTAAATAGTCTCCACTAACTCACTAGATATTACCGTTATGGCTTGTTTGGTAAGGTGGAGTTGTGATTCTAGATACATTGGTCTTGTTCAGTGCTACATACCAAATATACCTTTGAAGAATTGGGTCTTTTCCCGTTATATATCCCCTTTTGTACTTGGTTCATGAGATGTAATTTACTCATCTAGTGTTCCATGATGAAACGTGTATTATTATTTGCTTTTGGTGTATTTTGAATTGTACTTATGTAAATCAACGAGAATGGCAAGGATGTATATTTCCATTTTCAATTGAACTGCAGGATTGGCTTGAAACTGCGTTTACAGCCTTTCATCCGAAAGTTTTTCCTTGGGAATTGCCTCCATTGTGCTAAAGCACAACTTTCATATTTGATTTTTATTTTTTAAGGTACGAGAAGTAGTTGTAAACGACTTAAATTAAAACTAATTGGTGAATAAGTAAATAATACTTATAAGTCGCTCCGAATGTATGATATACTTGCAAAACCGACTTGAATGTTTATAAACTGTTCAATCTGTTGCTCAAGTTTCTTTAATTATTTAAAATGCAGGGAGTACTTTGATCTATTTTATAAAACCACTTCAATAAAATAAATTAAATAACTCATATTTTGACTTCTTTAGAGTGGGATACATGATAAATTTTAGTTCTAATCATACCCAATAACTTCTGGTATTTAACAAGGACCTTCGAGTCATTTCATAGCATGTCTGTAAAGATTTGAAAAGAAATCCCAATGCCATTAAAAGAATATTATTACATGTAATATAGCATTAACAAAATGATTCTTGATATGCGAACAGCTGAAAGGGAGGGAGCCTGTTTCCCAGCTCCGGGTGAATAATATCCGCTCGCATACACAAATCATTTCATTAAGATCTTCATACGGTAACATATATTGTCTGCTCTAAGATAGCCTCTGAAGTAGTGCAGTGCAGGAGTAGATGCTGCCATAAAGGTGGCAAGAATCTTCCAAGCCCATATCACTCCAATTGTGCGAACTCAAAACGGGACCAAAAAAGGCAATGCATAAATATCAGCATCAGGCAAGTATCTTGATTGAGGCCACAATGCTGAGCTGCTAGAACAGGATACAGTATCACCGCTGGATCTGAATGTTTTCTCTCCACGCACATCATTATCCTTTCTCTGGGAGAGCCATTCTTGATCATTGGGATAATTCGCCAAAGCATGCAGTTCAGGAGGAACCCAATTGTCAACTAAGTTCATATACTGTAATTCCAATCTCTGCATTGGAGTCAATACTGTATTGGCCCCAGATGAAGTTCCCAGTTTGCCTTGAGCAGCAGCCTCCATCTGTCTAGAAGCCGAAAAAACTAGCTCTTGATCAGTTCCAGTCCGAAATCCTTGAACAAGGTTATGGGCTCCCTGTGAAGTCGGGCAAACTGTTCCTCGACTAGCTCTGAGAGCAATTTCATCGTTTCGTTGCGCTGGAAAATACATCCTTCCGGATGTAGAGCAAAGCTGTGGCTTATCAAATGAAGTATCAGGTTCATTCTTCATCTTCTTCGAGGGCAATCGGATCTTGATAATGTTACCTGTTCCTCATCCATAACGACTAAGATAAGGACCACAGAGGAAGCTCCAAATATACATCCCTTGAAAAAGAACAGAAATATATTTTGTCGAGGGGAAAACACAAACTTACCAAGACTGTTGCTACCATCTATAGACGAGGTATGCCTCTTCCTCTTGTTGCTGTTCTCCGTGCTTTCAGATGAAGAGCTGGGAATGCGAGAACAGAGAGGTTGCTCGAGCTCTTCAGTGAGACTGCTTCTTTCCAACTGTTCAATTTCAGCTTTTCTTCCCTCGTGGAGAAGCTTACCTCTAGAATCCACCCAATTTTTTTCTTCACCACGAACATTGTCAACATTATGAGACTTACCAGATTTCCTATTTGTCTTTGCTTTCTTTTTCTCTTTCTTCTCTTTCCTTCTCTCTTTCTTCTCCGTTCTCTTTTCCTTCTTCCTTCCTTCGTTTGACTTCTCCCTCTTATTTTGGAGCTTTAGAGCACCAGAATAACAATTTTAGTATTGAGGACTATCGAAGCTATATATAACATGGCCGGGATATGAAACAGAGACCAAAGCATGATTCACTTTTCAATTTAACATAACGTTTTGGAAGCTTCGTACTTAGATGCCATGCATCTTCATCTGGGCCGAACTTTGGTCTTTTCACAACTCAACACAAATATTTCCGATTGAACACGGGGATCCAATACATAATTACAGAAAATATCTAGCATTTTTCACAATTCAGAAAAGATTGATCAAGGACAATTCCTTACTAGCGTTCCTGGGAGTTTATGGAACCTCTATCTAAAGCAGTCTAGTTCCATCAATTAGTAAACGAGCATGGGTTCCATAGAAAAAAATTCTACTCATATCTCATTAAATAGGGAAAAAAAAAAAAGAGGAGGAAAAGAGACAAGTGCACAAGCTCTTAGTCAAAAGTCAATTAAATAAAGCATCCACAGTGAACAATTTTAATGAGTTCAAAAGAACAATAAAGGATGTATTAATGGATTTGGGTTAAGACCTCGATTGACAAAAGGAATTCAATAAAACTTTCCCCCTAAAAAACTAAGATATTTTGCCTCATGTCCAGAGAACATAAAATATAGGACTAAATTTGATCACTTACAGACCTCTGATCAGAAAAAGGTTGATTAAGCCACCATTTAAAACCATAATCCATAAAAGAAAAAATGACTTGAAACATTCAGATGGCACTTGGCAGTGTCCCTTAGTTTTTTTCCACAAATTTTAACTGGATTTCAATCAGTTGCTAAGTGAAAAAATTTACACGAAAGCAAGACAAGTAATAGCATCAACAATAATATTGCAGCATGCTTCATAAAACACAGCATACCAGCTCTGGCAAAAATAAAGTTTTAATAGTAATTTTTTGAAGAATGTGTGGTTAAAATGTAGGAAAAAAATTTGGGTTTACGTGCAAAATATTTTATTGTGCAAATGTGTGATTAAAAATGAGTACGTAAAATAAAGAGTTTCGAAATAATGGTTGTCAAACAAGGGCTAAATGTACTAAGCCCATGTTTGGTCCCCTTAAATTTTAATTTATTTTTCTCTCTCCTATCATCGACCACACATTCTATCAATAAAATAATATTACATATAAACCCAAAAATTCTTATTACTTTTTAACCACAGATTCTCCAAAAACCACTTCCAAAATCAATTTTTTTCAAATAATAGTGCTCAAACAAGGGCTAAAATGGTCCTCAAGTGGCATCCAACAATTTTCACATTTACGTCATCTTGTAATAAAGACCATGTGACGTGTGAGTTCAAGAACTAACATCGAATTAAAAACTCTTCAAGCCCACAAAATAACACCAACACGCCATTACTTGTTCGACAAATATTTTATTTCACAAACAAACACATTCCAAATAACTTGCCAACTAACATGGAACCAGCAATATCCTAACCACACACCAATTCTCTTTTTGCAGAGAAACCTTAAACTAAACGCCAGACAAATAATGAATTAATCTTAAAATTTCTTCATGTTGTTTCAGGTTCTCATGGGACTTCTTTATATTAGTAATTTATTTACACCAGAGTCAACTAAATATATATTTTTTATCACATAACAAAGCCTTTGGTTAATTCGACTTCCATGTAAACCAAACGCCAGACAATTACTGAATCAATCTTAAAGTTTCTTCATGTTGTTTCAGGTGCTCATGAACCTTCTTTATATTGGTAATTTACTTCCACCAGATGTCACCTAAATATTTATTGTTAATCACATAACAAAGCCTTCGGTAAATTCAACTTCCATGAACTCCAATATTACTCAATATCTTCCATACAGTGCAAGTAGGAAAATCACAACTCTGATCCGACATACAGCACTTCTTGGAACCAAAAATTCTTGCTCCCGGAGCAATAAGAACTTCACTTACAAAAGTCCAACACAATTAAGATGGGATAATCACCTTCTACCCAATTGTTCACAAACTAAATACTACAACCTTTCCATTTTCAAATGGGTTGCTCTCAAGAAAGTCAATATTCTGAAATTCTTTTATCAACATCCATTGGTATCAGCTACAAAAATCCATATCAACTTCAGAACCACCCTATTATGCATCCATCAACGTAGGCTATAAAATTCCACATCTAGGTGGCTTAGATATAATTGACTTATTTAAATGTACCTCTCATTAGTGTCATATTAGTGCCCTCAGATTGGTATTTTAACACTAATAGTGCTAAATAAATAGAATTGACTCATAAAATAAATATGAACACCTGATTGGCTTTGGGATTCATTTTTTAGGTCAATAAATTCACATAGAGGAGTATTAGCTAGAAAATCCCACATCATGATGCATACAGATTTAAAAATTGACTTCCCGATTACTAAAATTAATACTAAATTGTACAATTTGTACACCTAAACAAACGCGGCCCAATACGTTTTGTGGGTATTTACACGTCGGAGTCATACATAGAGAAACCCACAAAATTACATCGATGATAACTCATGCTCATACATAAACCCATTCAAATCAATCGACGTTCAGTGTTTGTTAAACAAACCTTAATCGATTCGATCAAGGCCTCATTGCTGGCTCTGCTCAGTGAATACCCTGGTGGTGGGTAAGGAAAGCACCGAGACATATCTTCAAGATCGAATCGAAGATTTCCCGAAAAGCAAAAAAAAAACAGTAATTGATGAAAAAATAGGGATATGACTTAAGATCTACAAAACACGCGCGAATTAATGATTTAATACAATGATTTCGATTGATTTTCAAAGCCCTAGGGTTAGGGTTTCGGCGACCCAAAATTGATCTAGAGAACGCGTAACAGCTCAAACAATAAAGCAATATGACAGCCATGAACTGGGGGGGTTACTGGGGTATATATAGAAGGGCGACCTTAACACTGCTTTGACCTAAATACCCTTTGTTCTATGAAGTTATTTCTTATAGCTATAATTGTCCTAATGGTCACTGAACTTATGTGTATGTTTTCGATTTCTCACTGAAATTTAGAATGTCGAGTTTTGATTACTAAACTTATCAAAACGTTAGACGCTACTTACTAACATAACATATGTTCCAAATATTTTAAGGAATGTACATGTGGCGCTCCGTCACGTCGTTAACAAATTGTCATATCTTCGATTGCTTAATAAAATTTTAAAAACGTTTTCGATTACTTCATGATTTATTGATTATCATAATATATTTAGTTCATTGAAATCAATATTCGGTGAATGAGAAATTAAGGCAAAAAATGAGTCGGTTAGAACATTGAAGTTGAAATTTCAATATGGTGGAATATTTCAACTGCGTTTCGTCACGTGACAATATTTCAGATATAGTTTGACTGAAAAGTCACATCTGAATTATTAATTTATTACAGATATGTGTTTTTGAGAACATGTTCTAGTCCGTCATTTCTTGTGGTTTGGAGTGCAACTACAAGAAGAAGAGATGTTTTGAGAGAAAATTGACATTCATCACGAGCACATGTGCACGACAAATTCATCATAACGACAAAGGGTTCAACTCTTGTATCGATCTACATTTTCTTTCTATCAATTTGTTCCATATGCATTAATTTAGTTAGTTTGTTTACTACAAAACTCATACAAAAACTATAATTAACTTCTAATTTATCCACTTCATTGCTTCACTTCTTAAGATTATTAATTAATAGGTATCAATCTATCTCTTTTCTTCGTCAACTTACTTTAACTACAAAGTACCTTCTTGTTTCCACGTTTATACATTTCATTTTTCAAATGATTCGATTCTTCACAATATTCTTGATCTCGAACTGTATACTTTGGAATACCTTAGGTCAAGAAGAAAGATATACAAGTGAAGGGCATCTAATTTATCTTTGTGATACAAAGGGGGCCATTATCCATATTTTCTTCGACTTCCTCTTCGTGGAGGTCTGTGACGATGCAAAATCTATGAGATCTTCATCTGCGTGCACTATTGTTGCATTTAATTTTTTATTAGATATTTATACCAAGCTCACTGGCTACTTACAAATAATAAAAATATAAGATTAAATTAGCATGATGAAAACTTTCTAACAAACTAGAAGTATACAATGACAGTAAGAAATATACATGAAATATTTTTCTAAAAAGATGTTCTACAAACTAATAACATTCATTAATTAATAAATAAATCACTGTGCAACTGATCGTATTAATTTCGGAATATCAGATTATATGTGGGCCCAGAAAAGTAAATTACCTTTCGATCTCACTACCATACATAATTCAATTAATCATTGGTCAAATAATCAAAGCATGAAACACAATAAATCAAATATAAATCCAACGCTTGATAATAGAAGAATTCCGAGAATCAATATTGAACCCGTGGTTTACACTTCCAAGTATGGTCTCAAACTTATTTTTCTTCCATGAATCCTTTTAATTTCTCCAATTGTTCAAACTTATCTTGGGATTTCTCTCTCAAATTTTGTTTAACAAAACTGCTCGTTGGAATTGATATAAAATTGGTAAAGTATAAAATTATGGAAAAGTGAGTTTCGTGTCTGAATTGGATCCGATAGTCAAATTATGAAAATAAATATACTAACTTGTTCTACTCGTCAAGTAGATCGTCGTGGTATATTTGAAATCTCAAAACTAATTTCAAAAGAATAAGAAATTGCAATCCAAAGTTAAAAAGAAAAGATGAAAAATTGGTTGAAAATTTGACTAACTCCACCGCTCGCCTAGTGCTTGAGCAGTTAGACTGTCATTCGAACGGCAGGTCTCTGCATAAAATAACTCGCGCTCGAGCGATGTGCAAGCAGTAGGCTAGCGACATAATGAGTTGCGACCTTGCATGAAGGACGGTGAGTTTTGGACGTATCTCTTCATTCCCACTTTCTTCTTTTCTATAAATAAGACCCATTGAGACGTTCATTATTTCATCCCAATGATATACAATTATAACATAACGTAAAAATCCATTTTTTCTTAGCCAAAAATTCTGCATAAAAAAACTGTTTTTCCATTTCATAAGAAGGGAGTACAAAAACTATATTTGGTTCATTGTTCTTGTATTTTGGAGTGTTACAACTACAAGAAGGTAGTCGTTGATTCTTAGGAGTTGATTGTCATTGTCCGTAAGCACCGTAGCAAGGCAAAATCAACTTAAAGACGAGTTCAACTTTTGTCTCGACTTTGCATCTATTACTTTTAGTGTTATTTCTTCCATTTCTTGGAGATTATTTTGTTGGTTCTTTACATCCATTTTGTTGGAGTTTCCTTGTCGTTATTCTGTCCAAATTTGGTAAGGTTGATTTATTAAAGTTATTACTCAAATCCATTTTACAAACAATACTGCCAACCTTTTTTTATGTATTATAATTGGGTACTATAGGATGTGGATTGCCCCTTAAGGTCTATTTGGGAGTTTCGACGTACATGTTATCAACGTTTTTAAAGTCTCGATTTTGAGCGTTTATAAGCAATTTTAATAGCGGTTTTTAAAATTATCCAACATATGCTTGAGACTTTATTGTCAATTGGGTTTGAAAGTTTTTTTAAAAAAATAAAATTATATATTTGTCCCTTACAAAATTTTCAATTTTAAGTGATATTTTACTTATAGATAATTTTTTTTACATATAAGTTAATATTTAACTTCAATTTTTTTTTAATAAAATTAAATATTTACTTCAATTTTTAAGTTAAAATTTTTTACTTATAAGTAAAATTTACAATTATAAGTTAATTTTATACTTCAAAATAATTTTAAGTGATTTTTTTTCCTTATAAATAACTTTTTTATATTTTATAAGTGAATTTTTGTCTTATTAGTAGTATTTTTCTTTTATAAACACATTTTTTTACATTAAAGTGATAACTAATTCTTTAATTGCAATGTAATTTTTACTTATAAATATTTTTTAATTATAATTTATTTTTTGCTTATAAATAATTTTTAGTTAATTTATTTTTATTTACAAGTTGGTTTTAAAGAAAATATCTTGGTTGAAAATAATTTCTTTTATAGAGAGTAAAATTAGAAGAGAATATGAGAAATCGTCAAACACATCGATTTGGGGGATTGAAAGAATCGACCAAAATTACACAACACTGTTTTGGGTGATAATTAAACCATCCAAAATCGGTGTCCAAAAAATTGGCAAGTACCGATTTTTCAACCCCCTCATAAATGATGCCATCTAAAATCAATCAAAATTGCTAAAAAAAAAATCCCAAGCAGGCTCTTAATTTTCGTCCAAAAAATCTTGAAATTCCTTTGTTGTCACAGGTTGCACATGATATTGAGCAGTGAGATTCTCTTGTTTTTAGCGTGCACGAACACTATATTCTTCATGACAGATCACACGCAACACTTGACTTGGGCAAAATTTCCCTTTCTTGAACACTTTGACGCTTATCTTTGAAGTGCTTTCCAAGCGTCTTTCCACTCACCTCCTTTGATCTTTTTGTCAAAGATTAGTCCAAAATTGTCATTTCTCCAACCATAAACAAAAATGATGAAAAATCAACATAATCTCGAGAAAATATACCAACAAATGCACAAGATAAAATGTTGAGATAAGTGTAATAATACTCGTATCAATTGGCTTTTAACTTTATTTCTCTCTCTCCTTGTAAGCAAGCTTAGAAGCCAAATCAAACATGCCATGCACTCGTGAATTCATACTCTATTCGTGCAATGCGGATAAAATGACATCGGACTCTGACTATATTCGCAGGACGCAGTGGCGGACCCAGGATCTAAGCTCAGCCCGAGCGGACGTTGACTAGTCAACTTCGACCAAAGTTGGTTAAGGACTGAATCAACTGGAGTGTCATCGTGAAATCAATCTTATTGCGAGGTGCATGTTTACTAACATTTTTTTTTTTTGTCAAATGTTGGTTAGGGACTGAATCACCACAAGGGCTTGCTGGGGAGGAATTTTTTTTTTTCATGGGTTTTGATCGATATTGGATGGTACAGTTTATGAGGAGTTAGAAAAATCGGTGCTTTCTAATTTTTTTTAAGCATCGATTTTGGATGGTTTAAAAATCATTCAAAATTGGTGTGGTGTAATTTTGATTTGTTCTCTCAATTCAGCAAATCGATGAATTTTGGCCGTTTCTTATATTATATTCTAATTTTACCCTTTATAAAATAATTACAATGACTTTAATATTTTAACTACTTCGTATCACATATTCACAATTCACATCAATTATATTATATGCCAATATAAACTTGGTGGGCAAGCCTATTAACATTTAACAGGTTCAGTCACTTCAGTGGTTCACAAATCACAACTCACAAGAAATTCAAGAATCACAAGATTCACATTTCACAAGAATCACAACACAACTACACAAGGAAAGGAACAAGAACAAAAAAGAAAAA